GTTCCTTGTGAATATCTGCTTTATAAATAAACAGTTGATGACTTATGTTATAAAATTGTAAATATCCCTAACATTTGACAATGTTCCTTGTGAATATCTGCTTTATAAATAAACAGTTGATGACTTATGTTATAAAATTGTAAATATCCCTAACATTTGACAATGTTCCTTGTGAATATCTGCTTTATAAATAAACAGTTGATAACTTCTGTTATAAAATTGTAAATATCCCTAACATTTGACAATGTTCCTTGTGAATATCTGCTTTATAAATAAACAGTTGATAACTTATGTTATAAAATTGTAAATATAGTTCGAGAATATATATTCCAAAATACTATTTGATTAAAACAATCTAAACATTGACCTAATTCTTTAATAGCGATATTATGCAAAAAAACGTTTAAATGAATATGGACAGATTCAAAGTGTAAATATTTTGATGAAGAAGAGATATTAAAAGAATACAAATATCTGCATATTAAAAAGGTCAGTAAAAGGGCGGTATCTTCAGTTGATACTGGAAAAGTTAGAATCAGATAGCTTATAGGAGGGTATAAAATGAAAAGTGTAGAGTATTGGTAATAATTGTTAAAAATTCCCAACTCCAGATTGATCAATGCGTGCTATGACAGGCTGAATGTTTAAGACGTAAATGGAAAAGCCGTTTTCATGTTTGGTTTGAGATAAGCAACTAAAGATGTGTGTGATGAGCAAAAATGTTTTGAATTTGTTTTCTCAAAGATAATAACACTTTAAGAGAGAACTAGAAAATGACGATCTGTTCTCGATGTTTACAAATATTTACATGTAATATTTCTAAATCTAAAAAAGCTACAGTATTAAATTGTAAAATTAGCGATTGATTATATTGTGTGAATAAAAACTAGGTGGCGTTAATAGGGTTTGAGAAGCAAATACAATTGTTTTGTTAACTGTAGGTTGCCCCCCCCCCCCCAGTGGCACAGCGGTATGTCTGCGCTGCGGACTTACAACGCTAGAAACCGAGTTTTGATACCTGTGGTGGGCAGAGCACATGGAGCCCATTGTATAGCTTTGTGCTTAACTTCAAACAAACCAAATAGCAGGTTTGGTGGATACTATAAACCTTATTAAATAAACATTTGTGATTGGAACCTATACTCGCTCTCAAAGACAATTTCGAAGCAGCAAAAGTCAACTTATATTCTCAAGTGCAATACATATGCTACTTAAAAATAAGTAATTCCTTCATTCAATATGAAATATTCAAATTAGTCTTAAAGAGGTTTACTATATTTTAGAATATGAGTATGAAATAATCACTATCTTGAGAAGCTCGAACACGTTCGCCGTAAAAATGTTTAAAAAACATAGCCCTACTTCAGTTTTGGTTTTATTAAGTAACATATATTGAAACCAGCCATTCAAAATAAGTCAAATGTTCATTTGTCTTACCGTTTTAAAACTTAACCTGTTCAGGTGACCAAAGTGTAGTTTATTTGTTGAGAGTGTAGAAACCGGAATGTAATAAACTAGCATTAAAAAATTATCTACATAATACCTATGGGGTTTTTGAGTCCTTTTAAATCACCATACAGTAACTTAAATTAATTTAGGTGTGTGAATAATGTTAGAACATTGCACCTAATTAATGTTTAATGGTTATGTATATAGTTATATGTTACACATTTATTTTCTTTTTCACCAAAGGTAAGATTAAAAAGAAAATATGTGGCGTAGAGGTCTAATGCATTCCTTCACTGGCCGTACCCTATGCCGTCGACTGCAGTTTCGCCTAATCAAGGCTCAAAGAAATACTGAGAGGCCTCTTATAATGGTGACGTGTATATACAGGATGATCGTGATTAACTTACTGAATAAGAACTGAATAACAGTGGAGGAAATGCAAAACTATCAGATACCCAATCAGAAATATCAATTATATTGATACTTATGAATAAAGAACGTTTGAAGGGACTCGCTTCGTTCGATTCAAAGATGATGAGAACGTTGTATGGGTTTCATTTATACAACAAGTAATTCCTGATGAGAACGTTGTATGGGTTTCATTTATACAACAAGTAATTCCTGATGAGAACGTTGTATGGGTTTCATTTATACAACAAGTAATTCCTGATGAGAACGTTGTATGGGTTTCATTTATACAGCAAGTAATTCATTGTGGGAATAAATAAGTTAACTAAGTTCTAGTATTGGAATATTTCTGTTTTACAACGGTCATGAAGGTCAGTGAGCTTTATGGGGTCTACAGTTATACGAACTGTATACGAAATTAATTTGACAGCACTATTAGAATGACTCGGCTCCCACCACTACCAATCACAGTTTAAAAAAGTATGTATTAAAGTTGTAATAAAAACTGAAAATATGAGAACTTGAAGATAATTAAGGTTAATAAAGTTTCACATCTTGTGAAAATACAATAATATCGAAAGATAAAAGAAAACAAAGAGACAAAAATTATTACCTCTCACTGATTAGTATGCTTATAGAAGATACAAAAAACTAACTGTTCTTAATATGAGGTTTGATAAAAATGACTTGCTTGTATAACGTAATATTTGTCAATTATAACTATACCTTACATAAATTATTACTTGCAAGCACCGATTGCTTAAATTGTACATCCATTTACACACTTTTTTCCAAAAGAAACTGTGACCACAACCATTTCTAGTATAAAACAGTACCAATATAAGGATGCACAAAATGTAAGTTGAGACTTAAACACATTAAAATTGCACACGTTTTATATTTAAAAAAGTTCCAGATGTTGTTTTCATAACTCATAACGTTTAGTTAATTAATATATAACAAAATATACTCGGACTTTACGTTAAATACTTTTTCTTTAATTGTAAGCTTTCGGCCTTTTTACCGAAGCCTTCATCTAACAACAGTGTTCTGTACAATACAAATCTTATGTGTGAATGGTTAACATCTTTAATACTAGATGGCAGGTACTGTTAGTATTTTATCTTAGACACCTGTCTTTTAAAATTGTGCTCCACAGAGAAACAGATTTGTGTTATTCAGTATACTGTCCATTGCCTTATTAAGGCTCCAGTAAGAAGATCAAAAGCTCGCAGTTGAAATATTTAACGTAAGGAAAAGTCCGTGTATATTTCTTACATAAGTTATAGATGTTGTTTGACGATACCGCTAGTACAATTAATATAAAGAAGCAAATTGTTTTAACTAAAAGCGTATTTATATCTTTTCTACATTTAACTTTGATCTATTCCAAATGTTGTGCATAATGCTCATTTTCGATGGACTATTTTATTCTATTGTTTCCTATCTGAGGTCGTGTTAAGCACCGTTCCATAATTATCATATCATGTGTAAACGGTCTAAGCTTATTTCTTTCATAGCCGTCCCGAGTTTCAACTGACAGACTAGAGAAAAAAGGCAGTTAGTCAACAGCACCCACCCCCAGCTCTTGGGCTATTCCTGTCTAAACAAATAGAGGGAATAATAGAGCACCTACGCCCGCAAAGTGTAGAAAGTGTTTGGGGGCCAACGGACAGCGAACACTGAATCCTCGGTTTCACAGTATTGGTACTAGAGTAAAGAAGCATATTACACTAATATAATAATAACCAGGCAAACAACGATTTATAAGCATAATGAAGTGATTTATATTTTGGGGGGACATACTACATATTTAGACAGAACATTGGTCTGTCTTCTTTATTCGCAAGTTACGCATGATTATTATAATTTTATTGTGCATGTTATGTGTGAGTAGTTTGAGCTTTAATCTGCACTCAGGTCATTCACACATAACACTTTACTATGCATGTTATTTGTGAATGGTCTGAGCTCTTCTTGTCTGCATATCAATAAGCCGATAGATCCAGACAAGCATTTGTTGGTCTACTGATTGATCAATAATTTTATAAGTCCCTCTATTTTCCTATGTATGTATGTATATATATATAAATAAAGTATATTGTTATTATTATCATTTTATAAGAATATCTGTCTTTCATATTATATTGATTATGTGGATTATAAGCATATATATATACATGTGCTGTATCACAGGGACAACGATGTAATACGTATGTTCATTTATATCGTTATTAGCTTACTCTTGTTCATCTTATACATAGCAAACCTATCACAACCTGAAAGTGCATGATATACCTTGTGTCTTGCATTTAAGGCAAAGCTCCTAATTCTGCAGTCTATAATCTCGAATTACTGATCAGAGAGAAGGCAGATACTCTGTAGCATCATATAACTCACCATTCACGCTAAGAGATTGACTGTCACTCTTTCAAAGCTTCCACAGTATAAAGTGCGTGGAATATTTTGTGGTATCGAACGGATTCTAACCCGGCTCCCAAGATTCGAAATCCAGAGCTCTATCACAGGGACAACGATGTAATACGTACGTTCATTTATATCGTTATTAGCTTACTCTGTGCCCCACATATTCATATTTTGCTTTCAGGAGGTTCATCTTTAATGGTTTGTTTAACTTTCGAAGATAACGTTTTGTAACCTTGTCAAACTCGTACACGAACCTGGAAATCTCTGTCCCCGTGTTTAACTTTATATTACAAGAACTACAATAACGATAAAAACAACTAGTAGTAGTTTGCAATGAGAAAAAAAAAACAATTTTATCTGAAAAAAAAGAAAGAAAACCTTTTATTGCACACAGGGTAACATTTTCCCATTCTTACAAAAGATGAAAATATTTGGTTTTAGTTAGAGGAAGTGAAATTCAATGCTACAGGAGCTACATGTCAATAAGATTAGTAATGTATATATGTATGCATATATATAAATGAATATATAACGACTATGTGCACCCCATTGGAACTATGTAGAGCATCAGATTAAAGACACTTTTTTCTTTGGTTCTTTGAGGTACTACTTGTCTCTATTATAATTAATCTGTCAAGCTCATCGCAAGAGGAAGATACTGTAATATACAGATACGTAATTCGCTACCTGGGAGACACCAACAGCCAATCACTTACCTGCTTACGAGCCAATCGATTTCTCAGCAGGCGGCACGAGCTCGAGAGGCAGTGACTTAGTTTAGAGTTCCCATGGCAGCGGAAGCCATGATTCCCTTGAGCGCTTACGAAGATAAAATACAATCTAGAACCCAAATCTATTTCTAAGTTCCATCTTTCAGTTTTCATAGAAGGAAATAATGTTTGGAAACACAATCCTCAATAAATTTTCATCTGTAAGTTTTGAGTTAGGAATACACACATTTGCTTACTGTTGTTAAGCTGTGTCTGTCGATGCAATGCATAGTATGAGCAGGATAGAAAAAAAGTGGATTCCAAAGGCCTTGGACCGCCCATTTCTTGCGCGTGCGTGCCTGCACTTCAAGCTCGAGCACACACACTAAGCCTTACGTCACATATGGGAGGAGTTAAATCTTGGGGCTCTGCCTTTAGGCAAACGTTAAAGGACTAAGTTGCGAGACAGACGCACATTTCAAATCGTCCCTTACTTGGTTTAACTCTCTTCGTAATGAACAAATTGGCCTCGTTGTTTGGTCAAGTTTATCAGTTCCGCTAAGCATAATTTCCGATATGCACGTATTACCTAGCCTTTTGCCAATGGATTAGGCCCATTGAATGTGGCTAGCCCACAAAAACACTTCTTATTCAGTATCCGTTCCGTAAAATAAGTTTTTGTAAGAAAGATAAAGGTTCTGTGGACTCTTTATTAAACAGTTTTTTTTTTACTTGAGAAGACTTTTCCTGTGTTTCCAAAAACAAAAAAAAACAATAACAAAAAATGGTTTCCGTTATGAATTTACTGCACGGAGACAGACGCACGATCCACGTCTCTGCACCTAACACATTGAACCCTTATCCAACTTCACTCACGTCAATAACCCAACATGTTGGTCCGGGCCTTGGGAGCCCCACCATACAACGGACACCGTTTGCCATTCAAGAGCTACTGGGCCTCGACAACCAAAGAGAAAACTCCCCCTCTTCTCACCGATCTGCATCGGCAAGGTTAACAGCACCGACGCCAGTAACTGGACCAACATGCCCCACGTTTCAACCCAGAGGCCTCGGCACCCAGCCCGGTCCACCCCACTGTTTCCCTGATCCCGGCCGCATGTACTTCGGTCCAGCTGCTTTCATGCCTACTATGTCCGTCCCGTCTGGAATGACCGGGGTTACGGGGCTTCACGGAGTTACTGGAGTGCCCAGAGTGACACCAATATCAAGTTGCATGCCTATGTTGACCCTTGATCAACCGACAACAGGGACTCGTCAACACAGTACAACAGGTAAGGACGTACCTTTTGGTTATCTTATTATTTCGAAACATCACGTGACCTCTATAAACAGTGTTTTTCTCAGCGGTGCTATATATCTCTCATTAAATAGATGTCTATAACAAACCCATCATGAGAAATAAACTCTTGTCAAAGTCCGACACTTGTGAAAATCTAGTATTACAAAACCAGGTCATCATGATATTGATGTTGTCAGTGCTCTCGTGGTGTTCCATATTTATGTCTTAGAGAACCAAAAAACTAAACACTGAATAGTTTTAAGAAGTTCCACATTTAGTACCTGTTGTAGATGTTGACGCAAGAAATGCCTTATAGATTATCCAGTTAAAACTGTCTCAATACCTCACTTAAGAACTTGAGGAACAAGAGTTCAGAGTTAAACCGTTAAAACGTTTATAATTTGTAATATTTAGGACTACACGATATACATTATTCGCTATGATGATACTGCTTTGTGAGGCTCGAGAATATACAGTTTTAGTTTCTACAACTTACTAGGGTTATCCTGCAGTTTTAATAATCGGTATGTTGTAGGCTGAGGAGTATATGCTGAAGGTAAGAACTGGTACGTTCTAGGTCTGACTAAGGAGTATATGCTGTAGGTAAGAACTGGTACGCTATAGGTCTGACTAAAGAGTATATGCTGAAGGTAAGAACTGGTACGCTATAGGTCTGACTAAGGAGTATGTGCTGAAGGTAAGAACTGGTACGCTATAGGTCTGACTAAGGAGTATATGCTGTAGGTAAGATCTGGTACGCTATAGGTCTGACTAAAGAGTATATGCTGAAGGTAAGAACTGGTACGCTATAGGTCTGACTAAAGAGTATATGCTGAAGGTAAGAACTGGTACGCTATAGGTCTGACTAAGGAGTATGTGCTGAAGGTAAGAACTGGTACGCTATAGGTCTGACTAAAGAGTATATGCTGAAGGTAAGAACTGGTACGTTCTAGGTCAGACTAAAGAGTATATGCTGAAGGTAAGAATCGGTACTTTGTAGGCTAAGGAATATGTGCTGAAGGTAAGAATTGGTATGTTGTAGATCTGGCTACAGAACACATTATGAAGTTAGGAACTGGTACGTTGTAGGTCTGACTACAGAACACATTTTGACGTTGTAGAATTAAGCAAAATATTTGTAAAAATGTTTGTAGAAAGATAGGCAGAGAAACCGTACGAATAATATGAATAAGTAGCATACATGATATTTAATTTCACGTGTTATATATCAAAGATTAACATAGTCGAAGTACATTTTTTTTGTTCAACACTCAGGACTTTCTATGATTACTTCCTGTAATTTACATTTAGATGCTATTGTTTGAAGTTAAGTTGTAGGCTGGTGTGTCTATCAAATACGTGACTTAAAACTGATTACATTTTTACACTAATTTTCTGAAAGCGTTGAAACAGGATCTGGAACATGGGGTGTTAAGTGGTTCATCAACATAATACATAGAACATATTCTAATATACTAGGATTTTTTTTAGTTTCAACCTGTATACACATCTCATTTGCTATTTGTAAGATTTTTCGGTGATTTTTTCACCTCACATGATAGTATTTGCTATTTTTTATTATTATTTTCATCATTATCTGGTAATAAAAACTTTATTTACCCGTAAAGTTAAAATTTCAGCAACAATCATACTTAACTAGGTAGAGAATTGTTTTCTAGAAATATCTGAATAGACCCCGAGGGTTCAAGTTGATAAAACTTATTTTACCATGTGTATAACTAACTTAATTATTTCAATTATTTCACCATTGTGTTTGGTGGGGTTAAAAATTATTAAACTTGTACAACATATTTTAAACTTCTTCCACCATCAAAATTCATTTCTGAGAACATAAAAACACACAGATTCTCGCATAAGACATGCCGTGACACAGCGGCATGTCTGCGGACTTACAACGCTAGAAACCGGGTTTTGATACCATTGACTAGCAGAGCACAGATAGCCCATTTTATAGGTTTGTGCTTAATTATAAAAAAATAAACGCATAATAAATATATGAATAAAGTATTTATGATCTGTTATATACAATAATCTTTAATGTGTAGCAGCGTAAGCATTGCAGAATAACTGAAATAACCACTTTCTGTTGTGTTACTGAAGGAGGAAGATAACTTCTTGGGCTGCTGGAATATTATTTTTTGTCTTTGAATTAATTTAAGTTGAATGTTTCCAGATACTTGGTTCTCCTTTAGAGAATCTCGTCCATAAAAGAAGAAAAATGTTATAAGACGCAGTTAAAACTTCTGTACTTGCAGAACTGTGTTTTATATAGAACAGTATACAGTACATTCAAGACACTTCTTGGGTCACTTGATATGTTTTCAATGTTGCGATAACGTTAAACAACACATATACACACGCGCACTTACAAAATATGTGATAGATGCTGGTTAATTGCAGACAGTGTTACATTTAGCTGGTTACATACCACAAAGTGTTTGGCAGCATCACGAGAAAATAGTTGGTTTCATACCACAAAGTGTTTGGCAGCATCATGAGAGGATAACATTATATAACCTGTTCTTAAACTTCCTGGCATGGCCTGATGGTTAGGGCACTCGACTCGCAATCTGCGGGTCGCAGGATCGAAATCCGGGGCCGGACATGCTCGTTCTTTGAGCCGTGGGGGCGATATTATGTGATGGTCAATCCTAATATTAGTTAATAAAAGAGTAGCCCAAGAGTTGGGGGCTGGTGCTAGCAGCCGGCTGCCGCTAGGTCGACAGTTCAAAAACTAGAGACGGTAGCAGAGAGCCGTAGTAGATGTGCCGTATAAAGCAAACAAGAACAACAACTAAACTGACGCAAAATTCTGTGCTTACAATATTGTGACGTCAAGTAAAATATCATTTTACATGCTTGTCTTCTTAAGATTACATTAACTCTCTTATTAAGTGTTAAGTCACATTTAATGAAATGATGTAAGATTTTTTACACTGTTTGGTGGCATGCGATTGGTCGAGCGCCAAAACGGCTTAACACATATACAGTTGCATGAATTAAAATGTTTTCCCACAATAGCTACATATAGTTAATAAAGATTAATAAACAAAACTAGAGCGACTAAAAGTAATCAGAGGATAATAAATACCATACCTATTGACGACGTGCATAACATTACATAAACAATATATTTACCACTGTATGTTTCGGAATATTTGCAGGAATAATGTCTGTCTCCGTTAGCAGCCCATCATTTTGAATTGATAGACTAGAGGGAAGGCATCTAGTCAGAGCACCCACCGCCAACTCTTAGGCTCCCGAAATATAGTAACGGGAATGACTGTTACTCTTATAACGCACTCACGGCCCGATGGTGCGGAGCACGGTTATTATTTTTGTACGGTAACGAGACGCAAACCACGAACTATCAGATTCATAGTCTGGCACACTAATCAATAGGCCACGACCGGCCCGCATTTATTACTGAATCCCAAACACTATTTGAAAGTAAATCTAAGTGTTTTCAGTAAAAACGAAGCAAGTGCAATTGAAATACAAAATAATTAAGCATATCAACGTGTAATAGAATACTAAACTACTGTTGCTGTATCCTGCTTGAAGTCTACCTAAGGAAATGGGTTTGTGTGGAGAGATCTCTAGCGAAACTTCACGAGAAATTTCAAATTTTAAACCAAACCAAAACATTTACTAAAAACACCAAAATGTCTGTTTTTTTAGTTACTCTAACACAATAATACAAAATGGTCCAAATTAATTTAAGTAATTACAACCTGATTTTGAGTAACTATAGCGGTTTACACAGCTCGTGCCCAATGTTTCTTCACATGCGTATTATTAAACTATTTCTCTGTTTTGGTGAAACATGGTTTTCAGGAAGTTTCTGGACAATTAATTAATAACACCAAATGATGTAGAATTAAACTGGTTAATAGTGAGATGTATGACCAAAAGCAAAACAAAAACAATGGCAAGTGTATCAAATGTACCTTGGTTCAAGCCACCTCGTGTATTAACTCATTGCTGCGTAAATGGGGTGTTTAATTACTTGACGTGTTTGATCACAGGATTACTCAAGTACAATTAAAGCTGTTAAATTTAACACGTTAATACTTATTGGTATCAGTAAAGTTTTGTGACATAATAAGACCATAAATAGTTATGAAAATCAGGTAAAAATAGAAAATTTTTAATAATTCAATGAATATGTGGATTTCGCTATATATTTGCCTACCATGGATTGTTTGGGATTGTGACGTAATCAGGCATGTGCTCAAATGTTAATTTGGAAGCACAATATGAACGTTGTAAATATAATAGACTGTACAAACTCCGTTTGTTCTTTAAAACTTTTATAATAAAGAAATATATATATATTAACTTTTTTCTGATTGGGTTACCGTTATGAGTTAAATTATTTTACATTGACAACGTACAGTATAAGCCTTTTATATATATATATAATATTAACGTTTTTGGTTAATTATTAATGTTCTATGGTAATAAAACGTGAATTGGGAGCAAAATTCTCGTTTTCTCGAATGCTTCAAAGTTGATTCAGTGTAAGTATAGAATTATCCAAGGATAGCTGAACACTCCTTATCCTTATATTACACTAACTGGGTGGTAAGTTTTAAAATGCCTCCTGTTTTAATTTACTTTTCTGTTAGTTTCCGATTAACATTTTTATTGAATGTAAATATTATTACAAAACTGTGGTTTATATGCAAATGAATACAACTGAACATAATTTATGGGAAAGGCATAACTTCTACGACATATGACATAGTTTCGACTGAGAATATGTTGGTCAGGTGTAAGTCAACTTCTTGATAGTTTTAATCAGTGGCACATACAGCTTATAAGTGGTATATATGCTCTTGCTTTTTTGGTATATGGAAAAATGAAGCGCATAAAAATAATGAAGAGATTCACATGCTTTTAAGTAAGCTACATTAGTAACGTAGTGTAGGCCAGTAATCGTGTTCTAGAGCGATACTGTAGGAACTCCCGCCCATTTCATTGGCGAAGATTTAATCGGCAAGAGAGCACGTGACAAAAGCAGTCATTCAGTTAAAATTATTTTGATCTTAAACTTGGTGAAATATAGAACATGTGAGCTGACCAAAGCAGCTGGAGTATTAAGTTCTCAGAAGTCTTGAAAACTCAGAATTCTTGTAGTTACACTGAATATAGTGCAGTAAGTGAGTAAGGAAACTTATAAATGATCAACTATAGCTAGAGTGATAGGCTTTACAGCTTACAATGCTAGAAATCCAGGTTCGAACCCTGCGGTAAACATAGCACTATGTAGTTTTGCGCTTAACAAAAAACCAACGAACTAAATATTAGGCTAACGCCTTTATCAGAAAATTCTAGCATCACAGCGTAGTTGTATGTCGGCTGTGGTCTGATAGTACACCCAACCATATTAACCAAGTTCTAACCTATGTGTATAAAGCCCTTATAGAAAATTATCATAGGCTCCCGTAAATGAAGGTGATTTTCGAATATGCTGTAGGCGTCATTAATGTAGAAACGTAATTTCGTTTTCAAAGCACCATGTCTGTATTTTTTACTAACGAGTTCATAGCAGATGCCATTTTAATTTAAGGCCAAAGAAAATCAACGTTGAAAAAAATCTAAAATGAAATATTTTGTGTAAGAGCTAAGAGTGACTGCGAAAACCAACTATCTACTTTGACAAGAGTAGCCCAAAAGTTGGCTGTAGGTGTTGTCGACTAGCTGCTTTTCCTCTAGTCTATCAGTTCAAAATTAGGGACAGCTAGAGCAGATATCCCTTCTGTAGCTTTGGGCAAATATCCAAAACAAAACAAAATAAAATAAAATTTAACAATCTATGATTTTCTTTGCTTTTAAATTATCATAACCAAAAGTTCAAAGAAGATGTCATTCTTTTAGGACTTAAAGTTTGAATTGTTTTTACACAAACATATTTCTGTATCAGAACACAAGACATTATTAGTGAGCAATGTGGGTTAATTACAGTTGAGAAATAAAATAAGTTATTGTGATCCATAAGTGATTTGGCTTTTTGTATCATATTCTAAGCCTAAGTACCGCGTGTTAATTGGAGCTCAGATGCAAAACTGTTTTGCATGTAAAGCAACGATGTGTTAAACTGTAGTAACGTTGTTAAAAATGTCTTGAATTTCCAAATTAGATCAAGTACATCCGTTCATTGTAAGAAGTCACAAACTATAGTTTCTTGAAATTATTTTCTGTGTTTGAATAGCGTCTTCAGCTTGGTTTATCACATAGAGAAGAAGCTTGCATTTAGTTCGAAGTGGCCTTGCTGTTTATCTGACTCGAGGAGATACACGAGTAATAAGTAACAATTCTAGAAAAAAATATATCTGTCTTAAGAAGTTTGAGAACTTGATTAAAAACTGATTTCATCTTCTTCTTTCTCTGTCAGAAAATAATACATTTGTTCAATTTTGGGCGTCAATGGATTTCAAAACTTAGTAGTGTTATTCTACAAAAATCAAAAACTTAAATCTGAATTTTGTTTCTACAGAAACACACTACATATTCTCTGTCAAGTGAATAATGCTTATTTAAAATACTGAAGTCTGAATTTGTTTTTTACAGAAACTCACTATATATTCTCTGTCAAGTAAATAGTGCTTATTACGTAGTTTTGTCAAGTAAATAGTGCTTATTACAAAGTTTTCAATTGCGAGAACTGAAACAATTTCTACACCGTTAAAACACAACAAAACTGAGTATAATTTCATTTCTGCACGTTCAGAATTTATCTTCTATATAGCTATAAAAACTTTATAAGGAGAAAGAATATACAATCATTAGAGCACAAAAATACTGAATAACAAATTAAATACGTAAAAACCAGCATGATACAAAACGAAGAGAATCTGTCGATGACTACATTGAAATAATCACAATCGCAGTTGATTCTAAGATTAAGTGATTTTAAAAAGAAAATATCACTAATTTATCACTAAAGAGTTTTGATTCCACGAAACCGTAATCAGTCCTTAATGAAATTTCTCTTTAGATCAAAATTAGGTGATTTTACGACAGACCGAATACGACAAGTTATGTCAACACTTCTTTTCAAGTTTATTTTTGCATATTTCGTGAATATGTTTCAGAAGGTGGAAGCACGTGCTTTAAACAAATGATTTATGAAGTATTGAATGCTGTCATGCTTAATTTATAAATCATACACAAAACAGCTAGATGCTTTTTCACGTTACGCAATAAAATTAACTCTAATTCAATACCGTTTTTAACTTTGGATCCGGTATTTCGATGTACTTTTCTTTTTTACCAAACTGTCATTTGTATCTTAATTATACTGATGATAACTGACATGACTTTCGTCTAAAACTTATGCTGCTATTCGCTATCAATTAAGTTTTAGTTTCTTAATATGTTATAACTAATTCTTTTGTTGATTACATTGTGCTTTAATCTTTATATTGGGACGGTTTCTTTGATAGATAATTATCGAAACTTATACAATCAGCTTGTTTTATTTAATTTCGTTACAGTTTCGGATTTTTTTTTTTGTTCTTCTGCGATTCTTTTCTAATCCTTCCATTATAGATTCCTTTGGCAGTACGACTTTTCCACCCCATCTAGTATTTGTCATGAACCAGAAGAACAGAAGTACGGTAAGTATTTGATTGCTCTCATTTTTGAAGCAAGTTTAAGGGATCGTCAACAAATTTCAAAGAATGATACTTATTTTATTTGAAAATAATTAATCGAAATACGTATGTAAACGGGTTGATTGAAATTAGAAAATCTCATTTATATGTCTGTTATCCTATTAAACGTATTTATGAAGACTGATTTGTAAAAAAATATTCTTCAAACGTTGAATAATAGCTCGTGTAATCAAAATGGTGTATAATATGTACTGTAGCTTTATGTGTGTGTATATATGTGTAATTAATGTAAGCCTTTAAAAATAAATAATTAGTCAAATGTTTTATAAAATATTATAATTGACACGTACAGCAGGGTTTAAATACTGATGTTTACTTTCAGTATTTTCGGGTAAAATAAATTTTTCATGTCACCGCATAGCTTATTACATAACATTATACAATTTATGAAACATCAGTGTACATCTTACTAGTATCACTGTATACCTTATTACATGACATTATACAATTTATGAAACATCATTGTACGTCTTAGTAGTATCACTGTATACCTTATTACATAACATTATATAATTTATGAAACATCAGTGTACATCTTACTAGTATCACTGTATACCTTATTACATGACATTATACAATTTATGAAACATCATTGTACATCTTAGTAGTATCACTGTATACCTTATTACATGACATTAAACAATTTATGAAACATCATTGTACATCTTAGTAGTATCACTGTATACCTTATTACATGACATTACACAATTTATGAAACATCAGTGTACGTCTTAGTAGTATCACTGTATACCTTATTACATGACATTAAACAATTTATGAAACATCATTGCACATCTTAGTAGTATCACTGTATACCTTATTACGTGACATTATCCAATTTATGAAACATCATTGTACATCTTAGTAGTATCACTGTATACCTTATTACATGACATTACACAATTTATGAAACATCATTGTGCATCTTAGTAATATCACTGTATACCTTATTACATGACATTATATAATTTATGAAACATCAGTGTACATCTTACTAGTATCACTGTATACCTTATTACATGACATTACACAGTTTATGAAACATCATTGTACATCTTAGTAGTATCATTGTATACCTTATTACATGACATTACACAATTTATGAAACATCAGTGTACATCTTACTAGTATCACTGTATACCTTATTACATGACATTATACAATTTATGAAACATCATTGTACGTCTTAGTAGTATCACTGTATACCTTATTACATAACATTATATAATTTATGAAACATCAGTGTACATCTTACTAGTATCACTGTATACCTTATTACATGACATTATACAATTTATGAAACATCAGTGTA